TATTTCTTTCAGATTCCTCAGCTGGCTATTGCGCTGCCCCATCAAGATTCCTGGTCTACAATAGAATACCACCAAACTGATGATATTTTTTTGTAGAGAAGAAAAAAGAAAAAAAAAGAGATAATAAGGAATAAAAAAAGTGGAATATAATACAAACTAATATATTAAAGAAAACAAATACTAATATTAAGGAATATAAAAAACTAAACTAAAAACATAAAAGAAACTATCGTTAAAAAGAAAAAAATCTGCTAACTTCTAATATACAGAGTAATAATCTACTATTAAGTATGAGAGTTTTGACAAAATCATCGAAGAAAACACCAGAAAAAAAACATAACGCCTAAAAAAAAGGTCAGTAAAGAGCGTGAAAAACGCACAAAAGAACCCAAATTCGCCAAGGAGAGGAACTCTGGAAGAACATCTAAACAAGAAAGAAAGTTAATAAATACAGAAAATATAAAAAAAAAAAATAATAATAAGACAACTCACCAAAGAACGATACAAAACCGCCAAAGAATCCTCAGAAAACGACAAAGACAAGAACACCGGAAGAGCGCTTAAAGCAAGAAAAGAATTAGTAGTGAGCACAAAAACGTCAAGAAAAAAAAATAAACACAAAAAAAATCATGAAGAAAGAAAGAAAAAAACCAAGACTAACCAGAAAACTACGTAAATCGACGAATAATCACTAGAAAACGACGCAAAATCGACGAAGAATTACCAGAAAACGAAGCAAAATTGACAAAGATCACCAGGATACGACGACGCAAAGTCCACTGAAAGAACGCTTAAAACAAGAAAGAAAGAAAGAAAGTTAGTAGCGAACACAAGAAACATCAAGAAAAAAAAAAAAAAAAGGAACAAAACTCACCAGGAAACAACGATATTCAATGAAGAATCACCAGAAACGACAACATTAAGTTCACCAGAAGAGCGTCTAAAAACAAGAAGAAAAGTTAATAGTGAGCACAAGAATACCAAGAAAAAAAAATAAGCACAAAAAACCAAGAAAAAAAAAATGAATACAAAAAGCGCCAATAAAAAAAGACTCATCAGAGAACAACATAAATTTGATGAAGAATTACCAGAAAATGACGCAAATCCACTGGAAACCGCCTAATACAAGAAAGAGAGTTAGTAATGAGCACAAGAAACACCAAGAAAAAAAAAAAAGCAAGATTCACCAGAGAACGATGCAAATTCGAGAAGAATCACCAGAAAACGACACAAGTCCATCAAAGAATGCCTAAAACAAAAAACATCAAGAAAAAAATGAACACAAGAAACACCAAGAAAAAATAAAAGCAAGACTCATCAGAGAACGAAGAAACACCAAGAAATGACGAAAGTCCACCGGAAGAACACCTAAACAAGAAACACTCGGAAAAAAAAATGAACATGAGAAACACCGAAAAAAAATTGAACACAAAAAAAAAAAAAAAGACTCAGCAGAGAATGACGCAAATTCGAAGAACCACTAGTAAGTCCACCGGAAGAACGCCTAAAACAAGAAAGAATGAATACAAAAGCGAAAAAAAAACACAAAAAAAAAAAGAAAAACTTACTAAAAGAGCAACAAAAATAACCTTGAAGAACGATATCGAAGATCCACCTAAAAAATAAAAATAAATAAATATACGAAAATATAAAACAAAGGATAAACAAAAAAAAAAAACTTATCACAGATCAGTATGTTATCACGTGGTCAGTACTGTCACCGCCGGCGACAACTAGATTATTTCATAAATATATTATAATTTTTAGAGGTATAATGACTTAGTAAAGTTGGTAAGTTGTTGTACCTCTAAGTGACAGAACAAGAGTTTAAATCTTACTGGCAATAAAATTCAAATTTGCGGAATGTATTATAGCAAACTATATAATATATTGATTAAGTCAGCAACTATAACTTTAATCTTACCAACTTGTATTAGGAGGTTGTGAAATATAGTATAATATATACCGTATATTGCCGAAAATAGGCTATACCAAAAATAAGCTACTATTTTATTTTAGATATAAAATTTATAAAATTTATAATTCTGAAAATAAGCTATTTTTTTTTAAAAAAAAAAATCAATAGTAAAAATTTTAATTCTGAAAATAAACTACTTTCTTTTTTTTAAATCTGTTATTAAATATCGAATAGTAAATTAAAAATTAAAATATTATATAATATGATCTATTTAAAAAAAATAATTTTACAAGCATTATTTATTTTTAACCCCTACAATTCTTTTATTATAACATGTATATATAATAAGCGCATACATATGTACACACTTTCAAATAGAAATCTGGATTAGTTTCACATACTAACGCTAATTTAGATACTGTAATTAAGGAATAGCTTTCCACAACGCATAGCACATAAATAAAGGCGTACTTGTGTGCGTATACGTATGGTACTGGGGTGTCACATCAACTATTTAAGAAAAGCGCATAAATATTGTACTTATTTTTTAATTATTTATTAGAACAATGACGTTTTATTTTTTGCTAATATTCTAATTAAGTTTCAACTTATACGTTTAATATAATTTTTTTGGCCTTAATTAATGAATTTTCAAATATTCTATATAGCGAATGCTCAAAACCCACATATTAATAAAAGAAATTGAAATGTAGCTTTATTCTTTGACTTTATATAAGCAAATAGTGAAAACTTCAAGTTAATTTCACGTCTTGGCGATAGGTTAAATCATTTTAAAGATCGGTTTTAAAGAAATAGTCTTATTGTATAGTAATAAATTGAAAATTCAATAACTTATATAGTTAAATAGTCGATGTGACACCTCAGTACTGTATGTACATGTATACATATGGTAATGCAAGCTGAGCGCTAAACTAAAACTTGTAAGTGCAATTAGATTCCTTTTAATAAACAAATTCTTTGATTATATAATATCTTACTATCAGGTTTTTATCTTGGCAACAAATCTTATTATCAGGTTTTACCAACGACACCCAATTAATTGATTTTTTAAGCGATTTGATAAGCACAATATAATCTAAAACCTGGTTTGTTTTTTAAGTACACAAGTGTCTAGCCTTTTTGTTTCGAAAAATTTTCAATACCAAGTAATTCTTATTGGCAATATATATATTTTTTTACTGAAAATTAAAACTAAGTGATTCTTATTGGTAAAATTAAAGTTAATGGCTGCACATCTAATTAGTTTCAACTTGCGCATTTAAAAAATTATGAAGTTGTATAAATGTCTAAAAGATCTTCAATTACCTTTCAATTACCATGATACAAATAATACACACCACGCTACCGTTATTTGTACGTATAATTTTTGGTGAAAATTATATGAAAAAAAATAAATTCACCTTTAAGATTAAAAAAAAAAAAAATAAAAAATTAGATAAACAAGTTTGTACCATATATATTAAACGTAATAAATTTGATTAAAGTTTGAAATTCATCAAGTGAATGGCTAAGAGATACGTGTTGCCAAACAACTAGTAAAATAAGTTTTATTATTAGTTATAACGATCACTACAGCATTATTGAGAATTATATTTGACCATTATATTATTACTGACAATTATATGAAAATTCAGTTGAGTAAATTATTGCACCTAGTTTTATGATATGTTAAGCCTTACTAAATATTTTAAGAAACAAAATAATTATTAAATTCTTACCTCATACAATATGCAAAATCATGCATTTTCAATTACAACAAAACATTCGGGCCACTTATGAGATTCGTACGTATTTTTATCGTCAAATTCACCGTCTTCATCAAATTCACCACCTTCATCAGATTCACCGCCTTCATCAGATTCACCGCCTTCATCAGATTCACCACCTTCATCGTCTTCATTAGACTCATCATCATCATCAAATTCGTCGTCTTCGTCAGGTCCTTCATTTTCATCATTTCCTTCTTCAGATTTATTATCCGAATTCTCTTCATCGTCATCTTCATAAATCAAATGATCCTCAACTCTCAACAAACAATTAGAGATACCGCATTTTTTGAATGCCCGAACGATAACGTCATTGAAAACGTCTTCCTACGCATTCAAAACCCAATAACATACCTAGAAATGGTAAAAAAAAGTTTTAAATATTCTTTCACCGATTTAAAATAGGTGATGATTAAAGTTCGAATAGTTGAATCTGAAAAATATATTTAAGACCATAATCATCATTTGTTTTTAATTACGTAATAAAAAAACATTTGCCATCCCTAGACATACCGTATTCAGACTAGCACGCTTCAAGTTTCCGCCCTTAGTCAAACCAGCGCCACCATTCGCCATCCACGTATGCCAATGCTTACGAAGCTTATCCTTGAAAGGTTTATTGATACAGACATCAAGAGGTTGACACATACTTGTAAGACCCCCAGGGATAACAGCCAAGTCAGTATTTTCTAAATGAAACTCAGTCTTAGCCTGTTCAGTGATATGCGCTGAAAAAGAATCCAAAACAAGTATTCCTTTTGAATTACGTGATCCTGGTCGCATCCTATTCCAATACTTTATCTAACTACTCATTCTGGGCTCGTCCATCCATCTTTTCTCGTGAAACCAAACTACTATGCCGGCTGGAGGTGGTGGTGTGTGAATTGGCCAAACCTTTCTCTTAAAGATAATAACTGGGGGGAGCTTTTTATCATCAGCAAAACATGTTAAAACAATGGTAAATCTATTTTTAACATTCCCAGTTGTTCGAACATGGACTGTTTTTGCACCTTTTAGATTCACAGTCAATTCGCCCGCCATATCGAACCAAACTGGCGTCTCGTCCATGTTTGCAATCATTCCAAGGGGATATCCATTATTTTGACGAAGGTAGATAACAAACTGCTAAAAGTTGAGTAACTTATCTTCGAGGTCCTCTGGTAGTTTTTGTGCGATTTTGGTATTACGCCGGAGAGAAAGATTATTGCGGTTTAAAAAACGATTAATCCAGTGTGATGAGAACTTAAAATTATTAATTACATGCTTCTTAGTTACATCCTTTGTTTGTCTAGCACTTTTATTTAAGATTTCAGCCATTTTAAGTTTTATATTAGGATAAGTAACAGCAAAACCATCCTGACGAGCTGACATTATCCATTCATAAAGTTGTGCTTCCTCCTCGGGAAAAAGCGCACGACGTCCAGATCCAATGCTTCGTAAGTTCTTTTGAGGGGATGGGTTTTGAGAAAACTTTTTAACCCAACGGCCAACCATTGTCAAATCCAAAGAATAGCGTTGGGCTGCAAATGAATTTGAGGTACGACGAGCTAACTCTACGATTTTACACTTTTCTTCAACCGTGTATGAGTTTCTTTGCCTTTTCATTTTTTTTTTTTTTGTTTTTTTTAAAAAA